GATAAAACCAACAAGACAGCAGCTAAAACCAGCAACAGAGCAGCTAAAACCAACAAGACAGCAGCTAAAACCAACAAGACAGCAGCTAAAACCAACAAGACAGCAGCTAAAACCAACAAGACAGCAGCTAAAACCAACAAGACAGCAGCTAATACCAACAAGACTGCAGCTAAAACCAACAAGACAGCAGCTAAAATGTTAGAATCAGTAGCCTAATTATCTTTTAAATATCAGAAATGGTTGAATAATCAGCTGCTTTCAGCTCAGTGTTTGTTTAATTAAATTCAGACATTATTTTTCTGTTCTGTGGAACAAAACGTATTGTTGTTTGTTTGTTTGTTTGTTTGTTTGTTTGTTTGTTTGTTTGGCACAGATGGTGACTCGGACCCTCCAGAGGATTTGGTGGGTTGGTTGGCATCACTTACCCAGAAATCTGCTGCCCTGCTGGGTGTTTGTGAGCTCAGAGGAGCCCTGTTGTTCCTGGTCTGAAAGCCACAGATGCACCATGAGGAGCCGTTTCTCTTCACTCACACATAAATCCACTTCAACACAACATTTCTGCCTCACTTTCATATAAGATGATGTAAGAAGAGAACTGATTTGGTTTAAACTCATCAAAATAAGACGTTCAGATCAAATCTATAACCCAGATAATCTGAGACGTTTTGAGAACATGWGGAGATTAGAAGAGTTGTTCTTCACCTTAGAAAAGGTAAAAAACAAAGTTTGTATAAAGTGTTCATTAAGTGAAGCTGCAGGACGACTGATGTTAACAAAGCTTTGAAGGCGAGAGCTGGTTTACTGCTCAGAGACAGGTAGACCCGCTGCAGATGGCAGCTTTTCTTCTCTTAATCATCTGCAGCCTGTTGGGCTTCAGACTCGCTGCAGATGGAGAGCAAAGCTCCAGAGGGTTCTGAGGACTCAGCTGGACCGGGCCGGGCCCGGCAGATCCACAAACCCTCCCTGTGAACCCCCCACAGGGTCCCTGCAGCTCTTTGAACACTGGAGGCAAACACAACCAGCTCCGTCAGAGCGTCTCACACACACACACACACACACACACACACACACACACACACACACACACACACACACACA